GTGTGTGTGTGTGTGTGTGTGTGTGTGTGTGTGTGTGTGTGTGTGTGTGTGCGTGCGCGCGCTTGAAGATTAATTCCTTCATAGATGAACAGAAGACTACTCGTGCTCATACAGATACGAGTTAGTATATAGTAGTCAGTAGTTATAGTATCTGTGATATTTGTGATATGAGCAACTGCAACGTAAATATTCCCATGAATATGGACTATTATTATTGACTATCTATTCTTATTATTGACTATCTATGCGTGTATGCGGACGTTACGTCATGAACCTACGTGTGCATCGTATATCGTTCTGTATTATATTCCTACTTCCTGGTACCAAGAACACTCTAACTTTATTCTAATCACCATAATTTCTTAAATGTCTTCTGGTGATCTCATTCTTCTATACAACCTCACAGACTCGATACTTGGCAAAATATTTTGGCAAACAAACCTTTTGCTATCATTAAGATGATGAATTTTAACTTACGAAGCAAAATGAAAAAGTCTACGCGATAACGCTTTCAAAATGTACTCGTACAATGACTATCGGCGACATCCACCACATGTCTACACGCGTACGACATTGAAGAATCACAGAATCCACTAGTATCTCCGGCTCGAGCGTAACCTGACACATATCCCCAGCCCCGAAAGTTGTCGGGAGTTTGATGAACGGCCATATAATTACTCGAGCGTATAGGCGATACTCTGATTCTGCTTCCAATATACCGTCAGACACTCTGGTGAATTTATGGACGCGGCCATAACTCACAATTCGCCACCAGCAAAGATTTATCTGCACCAACACCGCAATTTTTATTGCATGTGCGTGATCGCGTGACCTCACGTTACCTTGACGCCTTCTTAAAGCTATGTCAGACAGCGAAAACTTATGGTGAGACAGTCAGTATATTTAATATAATGTACAGTAATATCACTGTAAGGTGTGATTATTAATTCTAAGCATTAATTATAACACGTAAATGAGAGATAAGATGCGACAGAAAGGTTGCCAGAATGGTCATATATGCAATTAATGTACATTAGCCTATTATGACTATTTATATAGTGATAATATGACTATTCATAATAACTTATCAAATTGATTTGACTCTCGTATCTTAATCCTGCGATTAGAGAAAGATAACAACTAAAAACACCGCCTAATTCTGCCAAATCTCTTGCTTCAGTAATTTTTCTTTCTCAGTCGTTAAAGTCTTTCCAAGTCTATTTCGGGGACTCCTCGTGATTTGATAGCACGCTGAATCAGTGCGCTTATTAAGTAACAGAATCTCAATATCATGCAGATATACCATAATATCATCTCAATAGCATGTTATCATCCAGACATCATGGTATCATCCATATATCACCACGTCATCTAGAATACACGATATCATCTAACCGCCATGATATAATCTAGATATCATGATAATAATGTACATATCGTCTCTTTTAGATATATCACGAGTTTATGATACGGGCCGCGTACTTCGCGTTATAAAGAAATGTCCTCCATGTGTGTGCGCACTGTAATATCGACATACAATCTACGAGATTGCTGCGCCTTGCCCGCTCTGCGCCACCCGTGCTGTCGGCACACGGCCGACAGTGGGTGAGAACTTACAAGAGCACCGCGTATACGTTGTTCGCCCGCTGCGTTGACTTTACTCAACCCGAGCACGGCAACTAAATATCTCTTATTTGAGCGCGCGCAATGCAGTTTATTAAGACTCTGTCAACACGAAACCGGTGTATCGCTTTATTTGACGAAAAAAGACGTACGCGGCGGCCGTAAATCGTTAGATTCTATTTACAGAACGTGTGCCCGCCCTGGCTGTGCGGACGCACCACGGCCTGTGTATGATCAGCCAGAGCAAACACGCATCTATAATCCCTCCCTCCTCACATAGCGGCCA